TTAAAAAATTAAAAATAACATTACCCTATGACCCAGCAATTGGACTACTAGGAATTTATCCAAAGGATATAGGAGTGTTGTTCATAAGGGTACATGTACCTCAATTTATAGCAGTGCTTTCAACAGTGGCCAAATTATGTAAAGAGCCCAAATGTCCATCAACTGATGAATGGATCAAGAAGATGTGGGTTATCTATACAATGGAATACTACATGGCAATGAGAAAGAATGAAATCCTGCCGTTCGCAACAATGTGGATGGAACTGGTGGGTAAGTGAAATAAATCAGAGAAGGACAGATATCATATGTGGAACTTGAGAAACTTAACAGAAGACCATGGGGGAAAGGAAGGGAGATAAATAGTTTCAAACGGAAACTGCTGACAATAAATTATATTAAAATAAATAAATATGTAAAGAATAAATAATAAAACAAATAAATAAAATAAAAATAGTTTCAAACAGAAACTTGACAATAAATTTTATTAAAATATAAATAAGTAAATAATAAATATCTCCCACTTACACATGTTCTTAATGGGTCTCTAGAAAATGTTTTTATATGTTTTTAAATTTAATTTGGAAAATGTTTTTAAAGACATAGAAATATAATTAAAGCGAGAAGGTCCACAGAGCACAAGGAGAGGTGTGCTTTGCTTTTATGGCCTCTGGGTCCCTAACCACTGAGGAGGGTACAGGGCTCTGTGTGGTGCCTCTCTCTGAAAATAGGTGAATGGGATTAAGAGGTACAGAGCCTTATAAAAATGTGTGGTGCCTCCCTCTGGGCAGGTCAGATACTGTCAGAATTGAACAAATAGATGATTCTTCTACATCTTTGCTGGAAGACGTATAAAGGGACAGTGCCTATGTGTACTTGAATAACAGCCTTTCCAGCTTTCCAGCAAGTGGTTCCAGCAGAGTCAATCTGCTGACTTTTTTATCAAGTGGTTATGAAATCAATTTTGTGCTTGAGTATTCTTTTTTTTTTTAATTCTTTTTTTTAAATTTTATTTCTAGGAGAGAGAGAGAGAGAGAGAGACAGCGTGAGCAGGGGAGGGTCAGAGAGAGAGGGAGTCACAGACTGAAACAGGCTCCAGGCTCTGAGCAGGCAGTCAGCACAGAGCCCGACGCGGGGCTCGAACCCACGAACCGCGAGATCATGACCTAAGCGAAAGTCGGACGCTTAACCGACTAAGCCACCCAGGCGCCCCTGTGCTTGAGTATTCTTAAACAAGCCTTCTTACGGTTTTCTTATGCACCAGAAAGTAATTCCTGTACAAGGCACCCTTTTATTCTGGTTTAATACTGATTTATTTGCATGGCCCAAGAACTACACTAATAAATCCAAGTTTCTCATTTACTGTATGTACAGAGTATTGTAAGAAGTGGAGGGAAAAATTCCCAAGCCACATTAGTCACCATTTGTGTTCACAGTTACTTGTCCTTAAGATATAAGAGAGGGAGAAATATTTCATAATCTTTAACATGTTCACTATTTGGCAAATTTAGGTAACTTTTACAATATTCCAAGTTACAAAAAAAGTTGTATGTGTGCACACATTTCTTTCACATAGAGCACCTTTATGGTTATTATACGTGTATAATGACTACTTCTATATAACATGAAATATATGGATATGAAATCCTACAGTCATGGGGCCGTGGGTGGCTCAGTCAGTTAACCGTCTGACTTCAGGTCAGGTTCTGATCTCACGGTTCAAGCCCTGCATCAGGCTTTCTGCTGTCTGCACAGAGTGTGCTTCAGATCCTCTGTCCCCCTTTCTTTCTGCTCCTCCTCTGCTCACGTGCTCTCTCACTCTCAAAAATAAATAAACATTAAAAAAAATCTTAAAGTCAGTCAAATATCCAAATAGTTTGTTCACACTATCTCATTTCTCAGAAACATCTGAAAGTTTAACATCAGGATCTATTTTTATGCGGATGTCTTGTATAGATCCTGACATGCTTTATTTTTCAGAAAGTCTTCAGAAAGAGTAGCAAGTACAGCCAATATTTACTTTTTATGAAATATGGAGATACCTTTTATAGCTCTAACAAACTGGGCCATGTCCCAAAGCCTTAAGTCTCTCCCTCTTTATGATGACAAATCAATACTTACCTTATAACACTGGAGAGTAGAGTTACTGTGGTTCAGTCATAATCTGTGACTTTCCCAGGAACCACCAGGATATAGATGGAAGAGCAATTAGTATTCAAAATTTGAGAATTTTTGCAGCAAGTTGCCATCCAACTCCTGAATTTTTCTTTCTCTCCAAGTGTATTTTAGACAATGATTAGTAATCAAAATTTGAATTGGGCAAATATTTATTGAACTCTGAGAAAGGCACACTGCTAGAAATTGGGGATACACAAATGAATAAAAATATTCCTTGCCCTGAAGGAGCCTTTAATTTATCAGATTATTCAGAGAAGTATGTAAATAAATTGTGAGTCAATGCAATCACATCTTAAGCAAATCCCTAAGGTAAGCATGGAGGAGGGAGGAATTCATTCTTATTTGGGGCATTAAGAGAGTCTCCCCACAGACGGAGTGGGGCATTGGGTGCTGCTCCTTAAATAGGTAAATGATGGAATATCTTGGGTTTTCTGGGTCAGTCCTGATTTATGTTGTCATCCAGTCACAATTATAATACTGCACTTTCACACTCAAAGGTTTTCTTTGGACAATACATTATATAATCGCAGTAGTATTGATGCATACATAACATGTTGACAGGGGAAAAAAGGGGAAAAAACTTCAGATGGACCAAAGAAGCAAGTTGGAAGTCCTTGAGGAATAAAACTGCATGGTATGTTTGGGGAAAAACTATGCATCTTTGTTTTATGTAGTCAAAAGAGGGCATCTTTCCCCTTTCCTATTACTGTTTAAACTGAAATGGGAGTACTTTCTAGAAGAGTGTGTCCTGAACTTTTCTATTTGCATATTTGACGTCTGTTTCTTTCCAGGAATGTTACTATTATGCAACACAGACCCCTTTCTACATTTATCCCTCATTTTCCATTTTCATTTGATCAGTGTTATTTCTGACAAAGTACTATGTTCACATCACAGAGAAAGAGAGAGAAGTAAAAAACCAGTTCATATATTTCATCATCTGCCTTCTAACCAGTTGATATTGAATTAGAACATACAATTGTGCTTGAACTTTGTGTACTTTCCAAGAAGCACATGTTAAATTTTTTTTTTTAATGTTTTATTTATTTCTAGGACAGAGAGAGACAGCATGAGCAGGGGAGGGTCAGAGAGAGAGGGAGTCACAGACTGAAACAGGCTCCAGGCTCTGAGCTGGCAGTCAGCACAGAGCCCGACGCGGGGCTCGAACCCACGAACCGCGAGACCATGACCTAAGTGAAAGTCGGACACTTAACCGACTAAGCCACCCAGGCGTCCCAAGAAGCACATGTTTAAAGAGAAAACAACCAAACTTAGATATTATTTCTGTTTTTATAACTATTCAGGGCAAAAAGGATGGAATATGCTGAAATAATAAAGCAAATCTTAAACAACTTGTAATGTTTTAGAACAGATTTACATTATTACTTGTTGTGTGATAAAGGCCATTTCCCAGGGAAATATTTCCCTTAGGTATTTTTTTAGCAGAAAGTCCTGAATTTAGAACAAAAAAATGATTACTAGCCCTATGTATATATATGGAAACATCAACTAAGCAATATAGCCATCAACTAAGCAATTCCAACACAGATAAGACTCTACCTTCCTTATCATATGAGAGGGAACAGTAGACTTGACTTTCCTGACTTGTTAATTGCCAACTGCTTTTGTCTTAGCCCTTTGAGGTCAAAGAGCTGAAACCACTGATTCTATGTCTAAGTACCAAGAGTATGTAGAATACAGGACACACATGGTATAAGAGATGGGGAAGAATCTTTGTGATGACTGGGTTACTGGAAAGGCACACCCCACTCCCTCTTCTGCCCTCTTATCTCATGTGCTTCTCTGCTTCAGAGAGCTGCCACTCCCACGTGGGAAATTAAGTCTATTCTACAGCTCCTTTCCCAGCCTGCTTTAATATCAAGGTTTCCCCATAGCAAGAATGTGGTATTCTTTTCCACAGCTTTTCTCATGGGCAGGTGATAGGAGGTCTATAGATTTTCAGAGAGGGCTTTTAAAATTTTTGAAAATGATCCAAAATGTCAATAAACTTAGAAGGAACACTTATACTTGATATAGTTATCTATTACTCTGATTTTCTGACCTCATGTAACATAACACCAAACCCATTTGAAGATGCTAGTTTGAGAAAATAACCCAATAAAATCTTTTCCTCTCCTCTTTAGGCCCTCCCCTTCCCTTCCTTTGACTCTTCTAATTAATGTAGTTGCCTGCTGTCTCTTCCCACTTCAGTCCATTCCTGGGCTGCTCCCCAAATGATCCTTCTACATGACATGATTAGGACCCAGTTTAATGCTTTTGATAGATCCTAGTACTATAGGGTAAGGCTGTAGTTTATCCGAAGCATGGCATGCAAGGCTGGGCACAATGACCTTTCCAGGCTTATGCCTTCTCCTGTTTATACCTGATGCCTTTGCAGAATTTCAGCCTTATGAGCTTGTATAATTAAGCCTCCCCTGACTCCATGACTTAGTCAGGCTGTCCTCTGTATTACTACAGCAGTGACTAGATACTGGATACAGGATATTGGAACTCTTGTTCATCTATAGATCATCATCATTGCTTAGCAAGTTGCCTGTGTGTGTTCAGATAATTAAAAAAAGTAACTGAATTACTTCCCATTTAGGCAGAGCTTTCTTAAATCAAAAGCACTAGTCCTAACAGGTTTTACTGTCTACTGTTTGAGGCCACATCTGGCTGATCACATATTTCTGTAGATAAGCGTATGAGGGTGTATGTGCATAAGTGCACCAAAGCCAAAGATACATGGGATTCCTTCTCAAGTTGGCTAGGTGAAATAAATTTGATTTTTTTGATAGACAAACACATAAATCACCATGAATCACTTTCATATAAATATGTTTTATTGCAGAGAAGTTATAATTATTTACATGCTGTAACACATCACGACATAAATTTACCAAATATTTCATGGTGGGATGCTGTAGGTTTCAGATAATAGTTTCAGAAGAACCACAGATTAAGTGAAGAGACTTACAGCTTTATTGACTCTACGACTCTCGGTTGCTAAATGCTAGACATCAAAAGGCAGTGTTTTCCAGTCCTACCTGTCACCACTTGCATGCAGAAACCTAGGAAGCAAATACAAGAGAACTGTCGAGTTTCAAATCCAAGTTGCCACCAAAGTTTACAATGGGCTGAGTTATATAATTCATGTCGTAAAGCATTTAATTCTTGCATAAAATATACAGTTCTATTAAGATTGGTATAAATCTACTTATTTATAAACCCTGGCTTAAAAACAAGGACAGGATGCAGCCTGCACATGCATTGAGAAGGACAACCTAGCAAATGTTTGTGACCTTAACAGTGTTTATTCACTTTCTTACTGTTATCGATTTAGGAAAATAACCTCAGGAATTATAGATTTAAACTTCTCTTGGTGATAAGCAATGGCAATGAAACTCTAGGAAAGACCCTAGGCACTCTCACTGATTTATGCTGGTGGAGAAAAATCTATGGACTGTAGACTGTCACTAAGGTATAATTTGGCAAGTCTTCTTTAAGCCACATCTCTAGCAGGATCATCCTGAAGTGCAATAAAAAGTCACTGATGCTTGACTGCTTATGTCTCAAAATGTGAATAAAGTGCTCACAGACCTTGAACATAAACGAAACAAGCAGGTGGACCTGGGAATTCCTATCCAAGTTCACAAATATACTTTAAAGTTGTATTCCAAGGTTACCGAATACATAGGCCTTGACTGAAAAGGAAGAAAAGAAGGAAAAAATGAAGGAAATGCAGAAAAATAGAATCTCTATATCTCTTCAAACCTACCCCACCAACCTGAGTAATGCACGAAGTGAGTAAATGGGTGAGGAGGATTTATGCACAGCTTTGCAAAATGGTGATGTGCTCATTGACTCCTGAATAAAAATCGTTGAAAAAATTTTGGTGATGAATAAGGAAAAGTCCTAGTTTCTACCTTCCACTGAGAATGATATTCTCTCTGAAGAGCCCCGTATCTCCCTTCTGATTCTCTTTTCTCATCTTTCATCCTCCTAGCATGTTCTCCTTACTGTTCATGATATGAAAAGTTACTTAGGCTGGAAATGTCCTGGCCAAATAAGCCGTAGATACTCCAGCGTTTAGCATAGAGAGAAAGGGAAGTCTGCATTCTATTTCTAAGTAATTCATCTTTATCTATGAGGAGACTGAGCTTCAGATCGGAATCTCTTCTCATGATCACGTCAGTAGGGCTAAGTCAGCAGCTTAGGATTTCCATGTCAAGTGGTCAGCGTGGAAGGCAGTAAGTTTTTCAAATTTTGCTCTGGGAGCTGTTTTGCTCTGCATATAAACCTGGCATTTTAAATTTTGAGCGAGGTGGCTCACAAGGGCAATTTGCAGGACTTGTAAGTTTTCCAGTGCTCGGGAGAATGAAGAGCCTGTAACCACCTTACAGGCTTTGAATAAATCAGGTTATAAACCTCTTTGGGATTTAGGCCCAGCAAGTGCTAACTCTAGCTGAAGCAATGAGTAAGAGTTTATGAGAATAAGTAGTTGGAGGTAATTTAAAATATATATTCAGTATGCATAATAAAAATATATCCCTACAATGATCTTGATGCTATCATAATTTTTCTCTTTAAAAAAATATTCCCTTGAAAGTGCTATCAGTAGCTCCCTTTCTGTCTGTGTTTTGAAAGGCAAATTCCCTGGCTCTGCAGGGAAGAGAATTACTGTTGTAATTCCCATGTCATTCCTAGAGTCTTCCCTTTCGGTGGTGATACTAATGCGCAGTATATGTTTCTCACTCTTAGCTTCTTCCTTACGAAATGCTGCTAAGTATGAAATACTGAAAAGAGTTAAAAGGGACGATAGATTGGAATGAAGGCGTTACCTGTCTCTGACTCTGAACAAACAATAGGTAAGTTGTCCTTTATTGAGACATATGACTAAAGTAGGACCTCTGGATCTCGGAGTCCTAACGAGAAGTGCAAAACAAGTAACTCAACTTGTATAAAAAACCCTGATTAAGACAGTATAACAAACCATGAGGTGAAACAATAGAGTCAAATCCAAATTCACAATATATATAAACCACAGCCAGAACGAAAAGGGTTTATCATAACAGTTACGGCTTCCCAAGCCAGAGAAAGCTCACTGTACTTCAAGAATCAACTAAAGTTGATAGATAGCAGGTATTCTGTAACTTGCGAGAACAACTGAGTAGCTGCAGATTGCATAAATGTGTTGTGTCACACAATATCAAAGTTATTTGCAAAAGTTATACAATTTGGAATGCTTGAATATGAGACACAACAATGTACTGAAACATACATTTATAAGAAAATGAGAGCAATCATTAATATAAAAGGTATTTTGGGGGATGCATTAAGTTAGCAGTGCTATCAAGGTTAAATACGTAAAGTGAGTTCAGTTAGCTACTTAGAATTTCGGTCATATACGTCTATACCTTCTTCTTCTTTGCACAATCTCATGCTTCTTCTGTGTCTTCTGGCTTGCCTTGTTTAGGATCTTCAAAGAGCCATGGGTAAATACTGATCAGGGGCAGACAGTGAGGGCCACTCCCCCTGCTTGCTGAAATGTAAGGATTCTCTCATGTCCTCAGGGGAAAGACTTCTATCGGCCAGTCTAATTCCTCCCTTGTGATGCTGCTCTGCCCTCCAGCTCTTCTTCCGCCCTTGTCTTTCCCATTTCCCTGGACTGACAAATATTCTTTGGGAATTTCTATCTTCTGTGGAATTCAGGGTTTCTTCTTTTTCCTTTTCTTTCCGGGGATGCTACACCCTAAAAATCCCAGACCTCTTATTTCCGAGGCCCTGCTATCTTATTTGCACTTAAAGTGGAAGAGGCAGCAGGTAAAGCACTTCTTTCAGCATTTGGTCCATCTGGGGTCTCAAACTCCCAAGGACACACCTCAGCTCGCGATGTTAAGGGTTGCTGAAAGTTATTACTTGAGTTATAGAAGCCAGGCACATATTCTTCAGGGGAAGATGTCTTTTGTTCCTGGTTTCCCATTTGATTGAGATTTTCATTCTCTACTTTTGATGCTACGGCTTTGGGGAGCAGTTCTTCGTATTGCCCAGCACACACATTTGTCGCGTGACACTGACCGCCGTTCTCATCTTTAGCTCTCCCTGGGGGACCCTGAGTCTTGGAAATAAAATGCTTCTCATCTTCCAAAACAGGCTGACCTTGGCTCTCCCAAGGGCATACCTCAGCCTTGTCTATGCTCTTCTGATTGGTTTGCTGACATAGTTCAGCTGCCTTAGGCTTCTGATGAGATTTCTCCTTTAAGGAGAAAGTTGGGTTCTTCTCCATTTCAGAAGCTGCAATAGATACGTGTTTCTGAACTTTTGATTCTGAAGGCACGGGACCAGGGGCCAGGTCGTAAATCTCCCAAGGGCACACTTCCCCTATGTCAAAGTTGTTCTTCATCTGGGTGGTGCCTGGGCTCATCTCAGAATTGGCAGTGGCCGGATTAATCCTTTGTTGCTTCATAATCCCAGATTTCGGAGGTTTTCTTGGCTCCTCCAAATGATTGGAGTTTTGGGGGGCAGACTCTTTAGTCTCTGCATTATCTGAATTGGAGTATTTTCTGTTTGTTTCTTTATCTTTTGGCAGAGGTTTCTGGGATTTAGCACGTTCTTCCATGCCTGCTGTTTGGGATTTTCCAGCTAATCCAAGAGTCTTCTCCTTGGCACTTGCTATGACACTGAGAGACTTTTGCAACATGGATGTTCGTGGGTGTCCCTGCTTCTTCTCTGAGCTGAGATTGTGAGCGCTTGCTGACTTACACACCAAAGGCACCGACTCTGTGGACTCAGCCTCACTGTTTTCTTTCAGTTTTTGTGTTATTTTTTTACTTGACAGAGACTCCAGTGTGGAATGCTCTGTAGCCTCCTCTTCTTGGCTTTCCCCTGGTAAGCTGTTGGACTCTTCCGTGTGCTCCCTCACGTGATCATAAGTGCTGTGGGACTTCTTCAGTGAGAAGACTCGGTTTTTCAGGGATTCTTCCTTGGGCTTCCCAGTGTTACCTGAAGACTCTTGTGGGTTCTTCCTGACCTGGGCAGTGCTTTTGGCTGTGCCATGGTCTGTGACTTCCTTGTCCTCTTTGGAGCACTGCCTGCTGACCGTCTCTGGGATCTCGGTGATACGCCTCATGATCGAACGGCCCAAGCCCTTCTTGGAGCACCGTTTTTTCTGGAGGTGGGGGTTATTTGTAATCATCTTCTTCCGTTTATATATTTCCAACTGGGCATAGAGTTTCTTCAGCTCATCCTGCCAGAACAAAAGTAAATTCACAGAGATGTGGAAGTCAGTGGTTTGGCCAGATAAAATTGCTAAATGTGATTTGACGTTTATTAATTTGTGTTCTGTTTCACATAGAGTTTGGACTTTAAGAGGACACATGCATGCTACCTTCATTTCACGGAGCAAGCCCTTTGGACTTACGAGTTGTATGTGCCAGATTCAACTGGGACCGTAATAAAGACACAGTGCATTTTCTACCGACAAAACATACCCCTAAACAATACTGGAAGCACCATGTAGCCATTGATAAAATTACCCGTAATGGTGGATCAGGTTTAGGGGACAACAGACCATCAGTTACTAAAAGCATCTTCTTACTCCAAATGCTGACATATTGTCACAGATTATCCTCAGTAATCCATTATCTCTGCTCACAGATTATCCTACCTTTCTATCAGCAAAATGTCATAAACTGTATTAGGGAAGCTGTATAACCAGTTCATCATTATGGCTGCTAATAAGTCACCTGAGACTATCAAGATTGGCCTATATAATTTCTACTATGATACATGTTTTATGAATGGGTCAACTCTGCATTTGGAGTCTTTGGTTCTGACACAAACACATATTTCCCTTATCTTTTTCTCTCTGATGCATACATGCACACAGATGAGTATACATATACATCAGCTCACATGTGTTTGCCTGTATAAATGGGGTTGATCTGAAATAAGAGACGAAATACTGGCATTACCCGAATGTCTTCTGGGTCTAAGCTGTGCTCGCTCCATGCTGAATTGATACTGCTGTTCAGGTAGGATCCAGACCGGCCCATATCTAGCTCATCTTCATATGCTTCTGTAGCAATGTCATCTCGTGGGTTATTGCTTGAATGTGAAAACTGCAATAGATACTCAATATGAGTTGTAGACATTAGCCCGCTGGGAGGCAGAGCATAATAATTTTCTGAAGGTTCTAACATTCATATCATTTCTTCAGCTTAGAACTCTTCATAAAAGATCTGCTGCTATATTTGTGTTTTGCTTTTCAAGTTACACCCTAAAGCTCTTAGGCAATACTGATAAGTGATTCCTTCTCCAGCTTCTATTTTCATCCTTGTCTTTTCTCCAGGCTCCCAGTGTTCACTTACACTACTCCTCTTCCATTATATTTGCATTTTGAAAATGAAAATGGGTAGAAAAACCTAAACTAGTGTTTTTCAAGAGTATCAATTTAGACTCATTGGCAGTTGGATGGAAATATTTTGGGGGCAGTGGGGTCTACCTTGTGTTTGTCATTTTGCTTCGTATAAGGGAGGCTATATTTCCTCTAAGGGCACACGGGGCTCTGATCACAGACAGCGACTTTCAGAATACTCCACATAGCTTCAAAACAGTTGCTTTCAAGACTCAGGGGACAAGAGATTTGAATTCCAACCTCAACTGTGTTGACAGTGAGATCTTAAACAAATCATGGAATCCCTCTGGAGCACAGTGCCCTCTCAGCCTAAAGTGATGATATCTAAGTTTAAAGTGATGATGAAATCTAACTTTAAAATTCAGAGAGTCACCGAACTTACAGAACTCTTTCTCATGCTCATTATTCTCAAGTTTCTCCTTCATTGAACATTCTGAGGTACTTTTATTATTTTCACGTGGATATTTTTCAGTTTCATGTACTCTTGCTAGCTCTATTCTTTTTCAAATGGAGACATGAAGAATGAATCAGGTAAATGATGGAAAGCAGGGAGACTCAAAACAATCCAGCCACTTCACACAATATATAAACGAAGTGACTATTCGGTGAAAATTGAGAGAAAGGCTTAGGGAAATGGGTTCTCTTCTCCCAGTTTGTCATCAGCTCAAATATTCCTTTAAAAAATTAACAGATCACCCTTTGATGATACAGAGCAATTTCAAAGTCAGTATCTGTTAAAATATTTAGGTGGGCAGGCGAACATCAATATAGGATAACTAATGTGAAATGGCAATTCTCTACTTAAGGGACTGTGAAGGTTTTGTAATGGGGACTGGTTGAGAAACCACAGAATTGGGTAAATCTTGCCTTCACTCTTCTACTCGTGTTTGTGATTCCCACATGTGTCAGGAACTTAAGGCCATAAAGATGAATAAAACACAGTCCCTGCCCTCCCAAATCTCACATGCTACTAGTAAACCACCCAGAGGTTATTTATATAAGTCTTAGAGATGATCATGAGTTTAAGAAACAGTTGTTGGTCAGATATTGTCCATTTTCTACTTTATTATTTTTCCTTATATCTATCTAAAATAGTATTTTAAATATTTATCTTATTTCTCTTGTCTGCTTCTCCCTTACCCAGAACATAAATACCATGAGAGCACATATTTTATCTGTTCATTACTCTTATTCCAGTATATAGACCACTGTTTAGCAAAGCCCCTCAATGATTTTTTATAGTTATCTGAAGTTGATATATAATTCATATACTATGAAATTCTCAATTTTAAATTGTACAATTCAATGTTTTTTTGTGTATTCACAGGGCTGTGCAACCGTAACCACTATCGAATTCCAGAATATTCTCATCTCCAAAAGAATCTTGAAGCCATAAGGCAGTCACTTCCATATCCCCTCATCCCCACCCAGTGGCAACCACCAACCTACTTTCTGTCTCCCTAGAGTTTGCCTGTCCAGGACATTTCATAGAAATGGAATCAGGCAATATGTAGCCTTTTGTGTCCAGCATCTTTGCACTTGGCATAATGTTTTCAAGGCCTGTGCAAGTTGTAGCACGTATCAGTGCTTTTTTCCTTCTTGTTGTTGAACAGTGTTCCATTGTATGGATATACCACATTTTGTGTATACGTTTATCAGTTGATGGACACGTGCATTGTTTCCACATTTTAGCTCTTATGAATAGTGCTGCTAGGAACATTCATGTACACATTATGTATAAACATGTGAATAAATAGCCTGAGTATACAGTATATCCATCTAATAAAAATGTAATCATATAATGGAAAGTATGAAAATGGATAAGATAAACTGCAGTAAGAGACTAGCCTACGGAAATTGTGGCTGTCTGGTATAATTCAAGTAGGGAAGAAAGTAGGCATTTGGTTCTGTTTACATTTCTTTGGCCTTTCAGTCCGGCTGAATTTCAGTGTTTTGGTTAATTGTGAGAGGAGGTAAAGCCTGGAGCAAATGACAAGAAATCACAATTCCTGTCTCAGCCGTGCTAATAATATTTTGTGTGCCACTAATACAGATATACAGTGTTCTAATATTTTGTTTTCCCATGGGCAAAAGAGGAAAATAATAATAATGCTCTAACTTTTATGTTATTCCCCCACACTCTCAGATCATATTATTCTCTTGAAAGCAGCTTTACTGCTATCATGTCCTAGATGAGGAAACTGAAACTCAGAGAGATGAAGAGTCTTGGTTAACATCATACTGTATGGCTAGTGTGGGTGGAGCACATACTCATAATCCTTGCATTGTGAGTGCTGGTCCATCTCCCCCCACTTCAGTGTGCTGTCTAGACAAATCTGTCAGCCCGTCATTATTAAGCAGAATTCTTCTACACACAATATAATTATTTATTTCTATTAACATAAAAATTTTCTGAATGTTTTGCTACACAATGCTTCCTAAATAGGAAGCCAAACAAGAGGACTCTTAGGATAGGTTAATTCTTTTTAAAAATGACTTTGATGTTATAGCTACAGTCAAAAGCCACCTTGAGCCCGTAATTAAAAGAGAGCTGCATATCAAAATATTTGAAAAAAGAACTGAACCAGATGATGGGTTTTGTATAAATTGAAGCATTTAAAAATTATATAGGATGTTTAATAAATTCCAAAAGAAAAGAGACATCTAGTCCCCGGAGGAGGGAGCTTTACAGTTAGTTTAGGGTGGCAAGCAAATGTCCATACCTCCCTTTGCCTATATGGCAGATATTTTGTAAAGGAGGAGCAACTCCATGCTTTTTAAAAAATAATTGTCTTGCAAGAGGAAAGTAATGTTAAAGGAATACCTTTGGAATCAGAAGCAACCCAATGGTGACTGTCACAGTCAAATGAGTATGTGCAAAATACAGCATTAGCATCCAATCAGACTGAAGTCTTGAGGCAAGAACGAATCTGAAATGAGAAGTCACCAAGTTAGGAATCTAACAAGGTCTCTAAAGTGCTAGGATACTTGGAAACTTTTTTCCTTAGTGTATTTTTAAAAAAGCAAGCAAGCATGAAAAAAGTTGCATTCCTGTGCCTATGGCATACATTGTCATCACAAAAGAATAAGGCTTGAAGTAACTGCAACTGAATGCATAAGATATGACCTCTTTATTATTTATTATTTTAAATTATTGGTAAGAAAGACAGCATGTAGATATATAGTGTGCTAATCCTTTCCCAGATTTATTGTTTTGTATGTAAATTGTCTTAAAAGAAAAGCAACTAACACATATGAACTCAAAAGAAAAATGGGCTTACAAACTGGTGACTTTGGGCAAATTTGGACTATGAGACACAACCAAATAACTCTTGATTCTAAGTCTCTCTATTTGAAAACATTAATCAAGAAAAAAATTAAGAAAATAAAAAGAGTAGGTAATTATCCATCTTTGTGAATGACCTCAAAGGCTTAAATGATGAGCAATGTAATGGATAAAGTGAATATACTAATGATTTGTAAAACGCCTCTTTTAAAATAAAAATTTTAGTTAATGTGAAGTATCAAACTGTTTGCACTAATTTCAAATGCAATATTTAAAATCCCATCTTGCTGGGTAATTTAAGCTGTGTTCTACGAAAGCCCTGCCAGAAACTTGTGGAGGAAAAATTCATACCGATATCTACGCTGGTAATTCCTGGAATATTTTCATAAATCAACAGGTTTAAAACTCATGTTTGAAGGACTCTTTCTTTTGCAGAAACCAGGTGTTGCTTTTATTAAGGTCATTTTGCAGTTATATTCTTTTAAGCTTTGCCCATCCACTGTTCATCCATGAGAAGCTAAATATGAGACTTTAGTGCATTTGGAATTAGACGATCAGCATGTTGATTCAGTGATATACATCATCAAACTTGAAAAGCTAGTATCTTAAGACAATGCTTATGATATAATCATAAAACATATGAATCTAGAAAAAGAAACTAATTTTATATCTGCATTATGCCATATTCACAACAAATTTACTAAGGAAATTAGTGTTATTTATACATAAAATTTCCATCAAGTGGATTTCTTCCTCATTTTTACCTCTCTCCTGTCCCCTCTGTCTTCTCACCCCCACCTCCCCTACCAAAACATCAAGTTAAAACAGAGGCTCAGGAGTTGTTCAAAATGTAGACATGGTTTCCCCTGTGTTTGAAGACATAATGCATACAATATGTGCACGGAAGTACAGAAAGCTCGTGATAGTTCAGACATAACTAAACAGGATTTTATGAATTAAGATCTTCTCTAATTCCTTTGTGAGAAAGTGGCTCGATATCTGCCTTGGATATGACTAAATGAATATTCGTTTTGTTCAGGGATGAGATATTTTTGATAGAGTTTCTGCAGGGTCAGGTGAGATTTTTTTTAAAGCAGTGAAATAGGAGCATCATCCTCATAACAAGTTACAGTATCTGAGGCATAGAAGCAATATAAAATGTGACCTGGAAAATCACCTCATCCCAAACTGCTGGGGCCATTTCCAGTACTGGGGCAGACGGTTATTTCAAAGGAGATGGATCTGAGGTCCACAAGCGTGCTCACCCACTGGGAATGCCTATCTCAAATGCCAACACGAGTGAACTTTAAATTAGCCTGACAGTATCTGGAAGGAATTATGTTTACATATATTTTAAATTTTTTTTTTTAATGTTTTATTTATTTCTAGGAGAGAGAGAGAGAGAGAGAGAGAGGCAGCATGAGCAGGGGAGGGTCAGAGAGAGAGGGAGTCACAGACTGAAACAGACTCCAGGCTCTGAGCTGGCAGTCAGCACAGAGCCCGACACGGGGCTCGAACCCACGAACCACGAGATCATGACCTAAGCAAAAGTCGGACACTTAACCGACTAAGCCACCCAGGCGCCCCTGTTTACATATATTTTAAATTAAAATGCCGAGTCTTCCAAAAAGTACTTTGAAGTACTATATACGAACATCAACTGCCCCTAAATTAATCAGCTTTTAAATACTGGGGTGTTGTTAGGTTGCAGTTCTGACTAGAATGATCTTAAGAGAAATTGGGTTTTGCAGTCATTCTAGAGATTGAGTTTGCTTTAAAAGACTATTTCAACTTCTAAAAAATAGATCTAACAGTCCAGGAGCATAGAAATATTCAAAAATTCAAGTCAGGAAGAAAAGCAAACCTTTTAAAAGTCTCGCACTTTCCCAAAGCTCTGCTTTATGATTAGTGAAGGATTATAGAACAGATTAGGCAAAATGCCTTATGCATTATGAGACTGCTGGACTTAATCCTTTTAGTTTATTTTTGTTTAATCTGGCAATTTGGTGAGAATAAAAGTAAATCTGTATATAAATATGCAGTCATAGCTTTACATATTTACATATGTACATATACATGCATATAGTTATGCATATATAATTTTATATTTTAAGCAAAGATGAAAGAACAGATGTGCCCTATTGGTAGAGAATACCTTTGCTGATGTTGGATGCCTTATTTAATATTATTTCATTCTATTGAAAAATTACAAAGATGAATCCAGTTGATTTAAATTATTATGTTATTGCTTCTTATTCTTGGACTCTTCCAACATTGGAATCAACATGTATGAATTCAGTCCACGTGTGAATAAGAAATTATATATACTTGATTCCTTTAATTATTACTGCCTATTACTGACTTCCTGCTCATCTCCCTAAAGTCAGTGTTCTATAGATTGAGTGTTAAACTATAATTCTATTCTTGGCCATTCATGACCACAAGTTAAATTTCTGAGAGAGTAGCTAATAGGTACTATGATCCTTTGAAGCCAATATGCCACAATCTAATTGAAAGGTAAGTCAAATTTGGAACTTAAGGTGTAGGGCTTCCCACTCAGGTGTTCTTAGGCTTGCCTAAGAAAATACCAAGGCCTATCCAGGATGGTCACTCTGCTGCCATTGGAAGTCCTCCCTGTTTAAAACTCACAGGGGACTACACAGTTGTCTGGAAGAAAACCGATGTGAGTATGGCATGTCTACTAACACCTAATCTATTAGCTTCAACATGAACAATTCATTCAGCGCTTGTGTCTATATGAACCCAGCTCATCATTTACATGGTTCATCTGGCTAGGCTGAGGAGTTGCAGAGGACTCTATAGGAAAGACCTAAGCAAAGTAAGAAAGCTAATTGTTTTTATTTTTATTATTATTTTTTTTACAAATAGTTTATTGTCAAATTAGTTTCCACATAACACTCGGTGCTCATCCCCACAAGTGTCCTCCTCCATGCCCATTCCCCCATCCCCCCCACATCCATCAGTCCTCAGTTTTTGTCAGCATTCAAGAGTCTCTCATGGTTTGCCTCTCTCCCTTTCCCCCACCATTTCCACCCTTCTTCTCCCCCTTGTTCCTCCGTCAAGTTCCTCCTAATCCTCCTATACGTGCAAACATATGAGAAAGCTAATTGTTTTTAAAGTAAGCTCAATGCCCAGTGTGGGGCTTGAACTCATGAGCCCTAAGATCAAGAGTCGCATGCTTCCCAACTGAGCTGGCCAGGCACCCAAGAAAACTATTCTCAATGAATATTTACCACGCGTTTCTTCACTTCGGCCCAGTATTAAAACTGAATTTTCTGAAAAGTGGCTGCTGTTCACAGACATCAATTGAGGGCTGGGGGGATACCATGATGGATGATTTGGAAAGTGCTGGTTAAGCAAAGTTAACTTGGTTTCCTGACAGCAGGACTTGTCATGTGTTACTTTGTGCTGTGACATTCCAAAAAGAGAGCTTTCGAATGCCATGTCTCATAAATAAACACATAAAAACCTCTGAAAGTGATACTCTAATATGTTAACAGTGCTTATCACCTTTGGGTAGTTGGATTAGGGAATTTATTTTTTATCATTTTATGATTTATTTATAGTAACCACCTAATGCCTTAAGATTTTTTTTTTAAATACCTTACCTGGCCTACATCTGAAAGGACTTGGACCAGTTGAGAGTTTAAAATCCATTGAAAAAAAATCCATTGAAAAAACATTTAACAATGAAAACTGAAAAGAATAAATCTTCAAGTAGAAAAGGATAAGAATCAATTTAGGCAACTGCTTTGAACAGATTTAATTTCTTGGGCAATTTGGTTCTAAGAAACACAGCAACTGATTATAGGGCAAAAGTAGGAAGCCCTTTGCACGACATGGTCACATTCTGACAACAGAAGACATTTAAACTCATCTGCAATAAGCCTCCTGGTGTGCTTAGAACTCTGTAATTGGTTCGTTAATATAACATTTAACTTATAAATGGTTCTAGAGAACCAGGTTTGTTATAACTTGAAACATATGTGTTTGATATTCTGGACACAAAAAACAAAAACGCAACTTTCCTTGGGAGATGGTTTGGGAGAAATATGAAGGCTCTGGGGCTCTGCCCATCACAGAATCCTCTCTCATGCTCACTACACAGTGCACCGAGGACACCCCGTCTCACCTCTTCCCACTCTAGTCTATTAGCAATAATCGCGCCTCGGATAAACCTCATTGGCTACGATAGTGCCACTGCGCAAAGCTTCCCCCACTCTAGTCTAAACAGAATTGAGAGAGCATTCTTTGTGCCCATTTATAATATCATAGTTTGCATCTCATCTTTCCTTCCTCTTCTCCTTGCTTTCTCTTTTCTCTCTCTCTTGAGAGGAGTCAAGACTAAGCAAAGAGGCAAATTCCCTGGATTCCTAGCCCTTTGGTGAAGTTTCTGGGGTTATCAAATCATAAATATCCCCTTTGTTACTTAAAAGATATAAAGTGTAGGTGTGTCTAAAGCTCAACTGTTCTCTGGCCTCATCTATTCCTAGAAGTGCAAGATATAATTTTGTAATTACCGACTAAAGTGAGAAATGATAAATATCTTCCAAAACTTCTATAGATCCACACCTTCCCACTCTGACTCCCACTATTATTAATGTTTTTCTATTGAGGGAAACGGCTGACTATTTAAAATTTCTCATTACATTCTTAAGTATGTCCTAACTTTTAATATAGGTCGAGCAAGTGAATGACATCTTTTTGTTACTTTTGAAATTATAGGATTTCTTTTTTTGGTCTCACTGAGGTTTTCATTTCATTTCAGATAGGCATAAAATCTCAGAAGATAAGCCACACATTTTTCATTTTGTTCACTTATCATTAGCTCCTTTCTTCTTCCTCTGTAATCACCGAGTACAGAAATACCTGGGATATCAAAAAATGGAGGTCCAGGCCATCCATGCATACAACAGAAGGTCACTGTAGGTCAATGTGATAATGACAAAACCCCATTGCACACAAAAATCCAGTCCTTGGGTTGGAATGGTGTTTTAGTTTTGAATTCAGCAAAATAAATACACATAAGTTGTCTATCTGAATATTGATTTTAAAAGTGTAATCCTGTGTATTAAATATGATCTATGATAGATAATTTATCTATATCAACTTTATAATGTGTGCATGTGTAGCTTGATATCTTTAGAACAAAAAGTATTACATATCATAACAATATTCAATGACATTCCCTTAAGTGGTTTAATAGAATACAATAGTACCGTGTAATTAAACTTCAAAATAAATAAAGATAAAGGTAATAACAAAACATCAGAAGGAACTCGTTAAAAAAGAAAACAAAACTACATTCATTTGCCATTTCTGTGACAAAGAAATTACTCAGCTTACAAACTTTAACTTTCTTCAATCTTTCCATGATTCATTTTACCCAATTTTGCTATTTAAATTAAACCGCAACACATCAGAGAAATAAAACAGTTATTTGCTAGCTCTACAGAGCACTTGCCTAATTGTATGGAATATAGCAGAGATAATGAGCTCATTGTGAACTGCGACAGCCATATAGCGTGGCTCATGAAATGCTGATGGCACTGTCCGCACTGCATAGCAGAGATAAACACCCCACAAGAGGAATAAAAATTCAGCTGTGAGAAGAACAACAACAAAGAAAAAAACAATTTTTCATTAGTTTTATAGGTGAATAAAGTAAAATTTAAGTTCTTTAGCATGCATTTTGTGTCTATTACAGAAACATAGGTTTAGCCAGAAGTAAACACATACAAAATGTCATTCACATATGAATACATATGATATATATTTAAGATTTTACTCAGTGTGTAGATTTTTCAAAGGTATTCTTTGGTTTTTGATTTCTTGCTTTTTTAAAAACGGTGCTTGGTGTCTTGGGTTTTTCTTTTGCTAATGCCTGGCTTTTTCCTGAAACAACTAAAATAATTTTCCACATCCCCAACTTGAGTTTAAGATATTCATGGAGCATCTGGGTCATAATGAAGTCATCAGGCAACAAAGGCTTGTATTGTGTTCATCTGCAGCTTCTAGAAATGTAAGGTCTTATTGCATTGAATCTGATTCAACAACATAAAAATATCCATTGCTAGAAATGTGAGAAAATAGGTTGATAAACATTCAGTGGCATATTTTATAAATGAACCATTATTTCTTCACACATGACAGAAATCCTATCTTTTGTGGGTGGAGTGCTGAAGGCTTTGTAAAATTCACAATCACCTTGCTGTGGGCTCAAGCCAGAAGAGACAAGCATAGTAAAGCAGTTAAGGATAACGGCTTCAGAATCATGTTAGACCTGACTGGAAAGTCTGGCTCTATCTCTAATAAACTTTGCATAATCTGAGGCTACTTAACCTCTCTGGCCACAGTTTTCTTATTTGGAAAATGAGAATAATAAAAAGTATATATTTCATGAGATTATTTGCTAATGAAATCAAATAATGGATATAAAGCACTTAACAGAGTTACTGACATAGTAGATATTGGATAAACAAAGGAATACATAAAAACAGACATTAAATGGATCTTATTGTTAAACATCTCATTTGACTTTTTTTTTTTTTTTTTGCCAAACTGAACATCACTATTTTAACTCTTTTTGACCAATAATTGCTACCATCCATTTTATCTGTCTTAGTGACATGACCTCATTGGAAGATAGTATCTAAAGAAGATAATATCTAATTAATAAGAGGAAAGAAGACAGCTCTAAGTTGGAGAAAACATTTCATCAAGTGCTTTACCTGGAGGTAACCTACTTACTTATCTACTGAGACACTGATTTCCATTCCCATATGCTAAAGGTGTTTTACCTGCCAACTTTTCAGCCTATTTCTGTCAGTATTTAAACAATAGGTAGTGCCCTAATTATTGAAAATCCCTTAAATAAACACAACTGTCAAGAGCTGCTCTAAAACCCTGCTGTGGTTAGAAGCCAAATAAAAAGTAAGGCACACTCCAAGATCTCCATGAGATTTATTCAGTCCCAATTATTCAGTATGTTGGCCACTGGCCATATGCTATAAATGTTCTTTCCAGCCGAGTTCTACTGAATCGGGAAAAGCAAATCAAGAAATGCTGAGGTCTTCATGTAGAACTTTCCTTCCTAACTCTTGTATATCTTTTATTTATTTATTTATTTATTTTGAGAGAGAGAGAAAGAGAGAGTGCAGGTTGGGAAGGGAGAGAAAGGGAGAGAGAGAATCCCAAGCAGGCTCCACATGGTCATTGCAGAGCCTGATGTAGGGCGTGATCTCACAAACTGTGAGATTATGACCTGAGCTATAATCAAGACACAGACACTTAACTGACTGAGTCACCTAGTCACCCCTTAACTTGTATTTCTGTTCATGGTACTGCTATTGCCTCTTTACCCAGGTTTGAAATCTCAGCTGCCTTTCTTTGGTACTTTGAGTTGTTTTTCATAGGTACCATCCCTCTCAGTGCCCACAATGACTGCCCTTTAAGTGCCTATCATATTGCTCCTTATTTGTTACAATTATTTTTCAACTGCCCCATCTACACATGGCTTCATCCTGTGTTCATTCATTCTTCATTTTCTGAAACTCCACTTTGATCACATCAGGATTTGTCCAAGGCCCTGGCACTCCACTTGGGTTAGTTGATTTACATTTCCGTTATAAGATTCACTCATACCCACTTAGAACTCTGGAAATAATTCTTGCCCCAAAAGGAAGACTATAAGGGATTCATGCCTGTGCAGACATGTCCTCACTTGTAAGCCTTTCCTGCCACCCAGGCTTCATGTTCACTGCCCACTTTGCTTGGCCGTATTCTTTTGTGCTTGTATATTTCTCAGTCCCTGACTTACCTATTGTTAACTCCTCAGGTCAGGCTTTTGTGAGGTACTGCATGCATCTTCATTCAGAAATCTCCAGTGGCTTACAATTATTTTACAAATATTTGGTCCTGACTAGCCCCCCCATGACTTCATGTTTTACATCCAACATGACCTTCCAATTCTCCCTCACATGAACTCTGAGCGGGTCACATGACTCATTGTCCTCTGAACACATCAAAGATCCTTCTTGCTTCTGAGTCTTTGTTCATGCTATTGCTCACCCCAAGAATTTCTTCTCACCCACATTTCTCAGTCTTATCCAATGTCCAATTTCAATGTCTAATTCAGGTCCCACCTCCATCACAAGGCCACCTGAATTGATTCTACGTTGCACCGAACTTTCCTTCTTCTAATCTCTTACGGGTTTTAACTATTGATATTGCACAAGGCAGAGAATAATGCCACACAACATATAATTGAGAGAAAATTACTTGTGGAGTCATGTTAATCACTCTCTTCTTTAGCCCCCACTAGTTATGACCTTCAGGGCAAGAAGCAAGTCTTATTTATTTACTTACTTTTTAAATTCAAGTATAATTAACATTCAGTGTTACATAAGTTTCCAGTGTGCAATATAATGATTCAACAAGGAATCGAAGCTTTCAATTATTTTTTCTGCCTTTGCCTGCATAGACAGCAATAGTACAGAGCATACATAGATAAGATTCAATAAATATTTGCTGAACTGAAAGAATATAAATGATATCAGTTGCACCTTATTAGAGATGTAGACTTCCTGTTACCATCTAACACTGAAGGGATTACAGATGTGTAAAGGTCATATTGGCATTATTATTAATAATGGTAACTGCTGTTTACTGATGGTCCATCACATGTATGATAATGCACTTGGCACTTAGGAATAGTGAGTGCAGAAATATTATTAAACAACACCAGCACAAAAATACGTGGGAATTGAAGGATTCCTGTGTAGTGGAAACTATCTCCTTCTGAAAACACTATCTCTTGCCACTATTGCGGTGTTTTTTACATAATGTTATCCTGAGGATTAAAAAAAGGAAAAGGAAAACAGGTTAATTAGGGTGTTACAATGTAGAATTACATTTAAAAATAAGAGATAAAATAAGATTCCTCCTAATAGCTAAACTTAACATTAAAATCATTTCATTAGCAATATCAAACAATATGCTCTGGCTGAAAAACAATTTATTATTCAAAGTACCAATTAAACTAAATGTGATCTATAAAAGTTGTGCTTGGGAAAAAAAATCAGTTTCATATAATTAACTTCAAACTAACACTGCAATTAGGAAAGAAAATATGCAGATGTTACCAAATTTTGCAGTGTTATTACGTGGGCGTTGAAATATGTGTTGTGCTTCGGCTTTAGAAAATAATTTCTGCTGTTAAATGATTTTGACGGGAGGCCTGAGCACAGTTAAGGAGGGAATTGTGATTATATTTAAAGATCCAAATAGGGCTTTCAGAAAGCTGAGGTCTTTTACCTTAAATCTGTAAGGGATAATAGTTTGAAAGTTAACTACCATAGCCTTTTAAAAGTTGATATACCATAAAGAAAGTGATTTCAAGTTACCTTTCTGAAGGGCTGGGTCACGAAACGAAATGAGAATTAGTATCGGTTCTTTGACACTGAAGCTGTCTGGGCTCTGGGATCTCAGAACACCCACGGGGGCTGAGAGAAAAACAACTTCAGCGTACAAATGTCTCTCAAGCTGTGGCACCATGCTTTGCCACCCTGCAAAGGCATTTTTTGTCTTAGTTCTTAGTAACAATTGATGCTTCTTGGTCCCTTTAAAATTATTTTTATGTGGCACAAACAAATATATAAATGACACATTTAGGTTGAGTTTTCCAAACATTTCTTTTTTTAAAAGAGTTTTTTAGAGGTTTATTTATTTTTGTGAGAGAGTGAGATAGAGAACAAACAGGGGAGGGGCAGAGAGAGATGGAGAGACAGAGTCCCAAGCAGGCTTTCCGCTGTCAGCGCAGAGCCTGATGCGGGAATCAGTCTCATGCATCGTGAGATCATGACCTGAGCCGAAATCGAGAGCAGATGCTGAATTGACTGAGCCACCCAGGTGCCCCACTAAGTATTTCTTTTAATGGCTTCCTCTATTTTTATCTAAGTCCTTCAATTTCAAAGTTTTCTGTTCTTATGTCAACAGCATGGTAGGCAGCACAGAAGTTATCTTGAAGTATGAAATCAAACAGCTTCGATAATGCTTGAGAGTAACTCAAGTTCCAGTGTTCTAGGGCTCAACTGGCATAAAACAATTTATTTCATACCTTAATTTTATACTTACAGTGCCATTTTCTCTTTTGGAAGTTAAAAAAATTAAGTTCCTTGTTCAATTTCTAGCTTATAAAATCTTTTGAGACAATTTTGTCTGTGTAAGGCTTGGCTCAGGACAGTGCTTGACCACTGAGTGGGGGATTCACGTGGTCGTTACAAATCTGTCTTTTTCTTGGCCTAAAAGTCTCTTTCTTATTTTATTTATCCCAGAGTTTCCACTACTTTGGGGAATGGGTCTCAGTGAGTTGAAACTGAAAAACCAACAAACCTTTCTACTCCTACAGATTCTAATCTTAGAGGAAAAGGTGGCGGCGGCGCCAGGCTCTTAGTGATTACTGCGGAGATCAGGATGGGCGGAACCGGGAAGCTTGCAGTCCATAAGTATTAACAGCTTGTTATTGAAACTGTGATAGTCCTTTCAATACAAGGAAAAGATCTGCCAAAAATCTTCTTGACAACTGAGTTTAATGACAACTGAG